CTATTAGTGTTTTCCTTTTTCACATTTTCTTGCTTATTTTGTTTCCAGTTCAGTCATTAAGGCTCATCTGAACAAAATGGCTGCCAGTGATGGGGGAGGTGAGCGGTCCCTGGACTTTGGCCATTGGTTTGAGGAGCAGTACACCAGACCCGTCCCTAGGAGGCGCTGGTGGAGCGGCCAGCCAAGTCATCCTGGCCAGCGTGTGATATAGCTCCCGGGATGCGGTGTGGACGTGACCCAGTGTCTTGGCTGAAGCAGTCACCCCCCCATCGAGATGTGGGGCCTTTGCTGAGCTTCTCGTGAACGGCGCCATCCGCAAGCGCTGAGCTCAGAAACCACGTCTGGTAATCCAATCTCATGTTCTACCTGCTCTGTTCCATTACAGATAACTAACCAGTCTTATTTGACCAGTGTTAACTGATTGTCTCCTGGAATGAGCAAGTTCAACAGGAAGCCTTCTGTGTGTAATTTTCGGAAGTTTCTAAGGAGCTGGCGGGGGCCAACCCAGCAGTCAGACATTCTGGGTGGGCGGGGGGCTGGGGGGCTTGTCGAAGGAGCTCATCTCCTTTCTTCCTTAATTACATGCCATTGATCTTCTTATGCGACAAAAGAGAAGTAACCAGCAATCTCCGTGCAGGTCGTCCGCTAGTAATTAGGGAAAAATGTGTGGATTCCTGACTTTTCCGTGACAGACATGATGTGCTGACACCACAGAGGCTGGACAGCATGATTTCTGCCTATCATTCCCCCCCGTTTTCAGACCAAACCTCAGCATTTAATCCATTCCAGCATTTTCCGTGACGTGGTGCATCTGGTCAGAATATAGCGACGATCGACACAAAGAAAGAATGAGAGATTTCACTGCCTTTTTAGGTCTGTGAATGGTTTGTTTGTTTGCTTTTTCTATGTCTGTATTCGTTCTCCTTTTCTGTGACCTACTTTGTCACCTGAAACATCGCAGCGGCACTTGCAGGCAAGCCCGGTTTAAGGAAACCGTGGGATCGACTACGCACCAGAACGGATGCAGAAGTCTGTCAGATTACGGCAGATATCCCCCGTGTGGGAAAGCGCTAGTTCAGCGTTGTGCCAAATTAGGTATTTTCAGGGTACGTGAATCTTCACATGGCTGCAGGTCTATGCATCGGCATGTTCCGGAACAGCCACAGAGACTCTGTCATGGTAACTCTGCTAGCAATAGCAGAACCCGGCTATCATTGGAAGTCGTTGGCAGATTAGCTCTTTGGCTGCTGAAAAGGCTAACTGGAAATTCAAACTGGTATAGTACCTCTTATACTGGTTTTTCTCAATGAGGGGGTCTCATGTTGTGGGGCCCTTTTCAGGGGGTTGCAGAATGTTATTTCTGCCTTCATCCTCCCCCCCCCCCACCCCAATTGCCAACTTTTTCCTTTGTCTTGTCCCCAGTCAACATGTTTTTTGGGTCACGAATTAACGACCAGGGAAGAACATGGGCCCTGTAGCTCAACAAAGAAAGCACGGTGCTAACAACGCAAAAGTCATGGGTTCAAAACCCAGGGAGCACATAAGCTGTAATCTGTCCCTGGACCCAGTCTCACTCTGGTTAATAGCCCCTCTAATTGCTGCAACTCCACCATCACAGCCTCCGCAGTGCCTGTGTGACTCAGCAGGTTAGGGCTCCGTGCCTGAGATCGAAACCCTGAGGTCAGCGAGAGCCCAAAAGTGAAATATCTCTGATCAAGGCCCTTAAGCCCAACTGCACCGGGGAATAGCTGATCCTACTTTCTTGTTTGTGTTGCTTTGGATAAAAGCTAAATTGATAAATCTACTCTAAGTTGCCTCAGATAAACGAGTAAAGGTAAGCCAACTGAGAACAACTGTCTACAATAAAAAAAACATTCAGGATTTAGGATAGGAATAGAATACGGTTATCTTCAATGAATCGTTAGTTTTTGACGCGAGCATGTAACGGTTCATGATCTTTATTTGACCGACGCGAGGGTTAAGTTCCTGCTTAACGTCAGCATGGCATTTCTTTACCACGACTTTTCTGCGATCAGCGGTGATCTCACACCTCGCGGTTGTGGGTTCAAGTCCAGGGGAGGTCTAAATGCACAGGCTTACCCAGGCTGCAACCCAGGGGCCTCTGCTACAACGACCCTTCCCAACCCCCCTGCGGTTGTCAGAGGCTTCTTGGTTCATGTCCCCTGTCTTCGTCAGATGCCTCACAGTGTCCCATTTTTCTCCCAGAGTCCAAAGACTGTCCTCATTGCTTGCCCTTGTTGTGCAAATGTGAGCCCTGCAAAGTGCCGGCGTCCCGTCTGGAGTGTCCAAGCCCAGTGCCCTCCATTCCCCCTGCAAGGCTGCAGGCTCACCTCGACACCGCATGAGCGCTTTGGAAAATGGACGGACGTTCCGCTGTCGAGCTTAAAGCGACAGGACCCCCTAAACCTTGGCAGCCCTGCTCCAATTCATCTTCAGAAACACTTTTCAGACAGCCCAGTGACACTAACATGTTGCAGTCCTCAGCACGCCCGAGGAATCAGCTCTGCTCAGCTCAATTTTCCATTCCTCACTGAGCAACAGAAGTAATAAAATTACACCCCGATTTTTTTTGTTCACAAAGCATTGTAACATTACAGGTTTCATTTGGAAAACAGCAGCTCTATGGTAGAATTAACAAGCACAAGAATGGGACTACAGGGAAAATGTCTTTGAAAGCGTTGTACGTCTGTAGACACCCAGAATCATCTTCAGGTACATTCAATCAAAGTACGCCCATAAAGAATTTGAAAAATCCTCCAAAAAGCCTTACAAATACCCAGCATTCAACCATCCTATTACATAATGCATAAAACTACTGGTCAGATTTAAATAAACAAATGGTTTTAAAGAATCCCTTTAATCTGACGTGTAAAAAAATGTCATAACGGATAATCTCCCAGTTTATCCCCGTTTAATAATCTATCCCCAGCGTCCGCTGTAGTGAAATCTGCAAACGCTTCTAATCACTAAGATCGGTCTCACTCTGATTAAGGACGGCTCTAATTGCTGTAAATCCACCATCTCACCCTACTGCATTTTAATCGGGCGGGGGAGCGCGCTCGCCCGTGCGCGTCGCCGCCAACTACGCCGCGCTCGTGTACGCGTCTCCCAGCGCCGATTTCATTGCACCGTGAAACAACGCGTTTATGATGCGTACGAGCGTGCACAGTGGATCTCAGTCACACTAACACCATTTTATTAAGCAGTTTAAGCCATGCAACGGAATCCTACTGACTCAGATTTTCTTTTTCTTTAAACCCCTCAGGATATTACCGGGGCACGGCAGCCGCTCCATAAAGGATGATATTCTCGCCGCCCCCCCGCCCCCTCATCGCCTTAGACAGTCACACATCAGGCTCTAATTAGACACGAGTGTCGTGCCCTGGTGAATTTGCTCCTGCCTTTTATATCTCCCATTACCTAACCAGCTGCAGAACGACTCTGTCTCCAAATTAAGTGAGACGGCTGAGAAGTGTCTTAATCAAGGGGAGCGCAGCGCCGACGGAGCGCTTCTCTGATTCATTAGCGTGCATCTTGCAGCTAACTAAAAGCTTAAAACGGGGTGAAACTCAAACCACGGGATTTCAAGCTCATTATGAAAAAAGTTCAGATTGATTAAAATCGCTTAAATACTACAGTTTCACTCGCAACTTTAAGACGGACACTCGCAAACACACACACGGCTATGAATTACACAAATCAGCCAGCTACTGTATACTTTCCTAAACGATTTACATGAGGGACACAAAAGCACAATCTCCCCTTTTCTCTAGCTCTCTCTTTCTTTCTCACCCACAGAGAAATCGATTTCAGATTGTATTCAATCGAGTACAACGGCACAGGAAAACTGCATGTATTCACATCAGTTTAACCGCTGGTACAGAGAGAAATATTTGTGCACTGTGAGAATAAGCTTAATAATACGCTTACGTTAATAAAAAGCTTATGTTAAAGAATTACTGATATTGCACAATAAACCCAAAACAGCATAAATGCACGAAACATAGGAGCATTATTGTCATGTTTGCTTTTATTACAATAGTGGCTAATATTGTTCTTTTTAAATAGCAGATATATAAGACCTTTGATGGTAGGTCCTTCAGTCACAAGGCTCTTAGCCAATGTAATGGGCTTCCTCAATATGTGAGGGATGCTCCTCCATCCAGACTGACGACCTACCACTTTAGCCTAGCCTAGCATAAACAGGGCAGCTGGTCGAACTGTCCTGTTGTCCACGTATCTGCATCCATGCTGACCTGCTGGGTCATTCTCCTCTCCACAAGTCCAGATGCCCTGTACCTGGGGTGTACACCAGCTGAGTTCATGTCATGGCAGGCCGCAGTAGAAGACTGAAGACTAGCCTGCAGATGGCCGAAGAGAGGGCTGATCTACAGATGGCGTGATGACCCACAGACGGCATGACGCGTGTGAGAGAGAGTGCCACACAAACACTGACACGCAACTTTCACGCCTGTTCATTGTTAGCGTTGCCTGGGGGGCTTGGGCAGCTAGATGACCTCAGTCCCCCTAGAGTAGTGTTTCTCAAACCGGTCTTTGGGGACCCCCAACACATTTTTGCATCCTCCCAGCTCCCAGCCAGTCGAGAACACAAATGGAGGGAGCAAAAATGTGGACTGTCTGGACAGTCGAGAAACACTGTTCTTAAGGTTCATTCTCTTATGTCAAAATATGGAGTTTTGTTTCATCTCCTGTTTCAAATGATTGCCTTTTGATTCTTACATATCAAATTATGGACTCTTGTTTCTTCTACAATCTTATCCTCTGGCTTTTGTTTTTGCTCAATATTGTCACCCTAAATTGTAAGTCAGTAGGTGACACTGATGTTTGATTCATTGATATGGGCTTCGGAACAACCATGTTGGAAAAGGCATTATATAAATAAAAATAAATCTGTGACTGTTTGATGATTTTGTAACATGGAAAGGACTGTTATGACAGATCTTCACATTACGACTTACCTTCCTTGTACTTTGATGTCAGATATTGCATAAAAGTATCTGGACAAGTTGTTCTCATCCACCATGGTGGTTCCAGTGGCCGGCCTGAGTAGTTTTATTCTGAGGTCTGTGATGGTAAAGAAGTCCCTCAGATTCTTGGTGGTGTCCAGCTGGCCGTAGAGAGAGGCCATGTTGTGTAGTCGTGGCCCAGCGAACAGGGCAAAGCGGTCCTTGATCTCGAAGCGCACGGTCTTGTCGTACTTCCACACGTAGCCCCTAGAGTAGTCCTCTGTGCAGATGATGTTGAGCATCGTCTGCTGAGTGAGCTCGTGCACCGTTTTGGGCTCCATGGTGAATGCGTCCAGGCAGTCCGTGGCATAGAACTGGTATGGTTGCCACGTTCTCCCGTAGTCCAGGGACTTCTCCAGCACCATCTGCTCGGGGCGACCCGACTCGAAGGTGAGGACGATGTCATCCGTCAGCTCGATGGTCTTGTTCCACGACAGGGTGATGTTCGCTTGAAGCGGTTTTGGGTATTTCTTCCAAGACGTCGACTGCCAGAAGGTTGTGGGGTTTCGGCCCTCAAAGTCGAACATCAGGCTAGGCGGGTGGGCCAGCTCTGTGGTGCTGGCGTCGCATTCATTATTGCACATGTAAGGGTTTTCCTGCAAGACAAAAAAAAAAAAAAGAGGCGCACTTAATGAGTAATCGGCTATTAAACTCAAGAGCTATACGTTTAATTTAGGCTGGACACAGAGAACAGATTTGCTGCACGGAATTGTTTTGTGATAGAGGCGCGGAAACTGGAAATGTCATTGTCATTGCTGGCTGGCATTGTGTTGGCCATGTTGGTGACGGCAAAGGAATCCCGATGAGACGGGGGAGTGTTATAAAATGTCGCAGGCAACATGCATTTTTTATAGACACGTTCCTGTGGAGGACTGTTTAGCTAGCGTAGAGCTAGACCTGTGGAAGAACTGCAGCCTGTCTGTCAGCCTGTTAATCTCCACATGGAAATAAATGAAAAAACATGGAACTAGGGACCTTCCTTCACATTAATGGGGGGAGATGAAGCGATCTAACTGTCGACGATGGGCCGTGATGGACGAGGAGGACCGTCACGGTGGGTGTTACTCCGGAAGCCGGCAGATACCGTCCAGATCTCTCATCTTACCTTCTCGGCCGCCGCATCTCGGCGCCCAACTCTGCGAACGAAAACGCGCCTGCATGCCTTCGTCAACATTACTCCGGCAAAAATAACCCGACGCAGCCTCAGCTCTGAGTCACGCCGTGAATCCTGGGAGGCGACAGACATGGGAAAGATTCAGCTTTTTTCTTTTCCTCATGGGGGGGCGGGGTGCGGGAGAGGCTACAGCTGTATTGTCCTGTGTGCTCCATTTAATTCCCTGCCTGTAAACCCACCCCCCCCCCCCCCAAGACACAAGTACAGCTTGCCGCCAATCGTTAAATCCCATCGTATAACAGCCTCCCGAGGTCTATCGCGGCGCCTCCTGTCTTATTAGCCGCAAGACCCGCCCTCTTTTATGGTATTTTTCCCACAAGGCACTGGTGCCGTTTCATTAGGACGGGGAGGTCCGGCGGGCCGATTAGGTAGGAGATGTCAACGTCTCCTCGAGGCCCTCGAATCGGGGGGTAGGAGAAGGTGGGGGCAGGGGGAGGTAATGGCGAGGTGAAAATGAAACCCAGCAATGTCAACCCTTTAGCCTCCTGATGTCTGTTGAGGCACATTACTCTTCCTGCTTCCCAATCCCCTGTCGTCTGTTCAGACTCGTGTGTGTGTGTGTGTGTGTGTGTGTGTGTTTCCAGAGGAACAGAAGGGCTCGTCTGCAAGAGTAAATTTTCACTTAAGTCCAGCTTTCGCTCGATGTCACTGCTAGATACCAGAGCGTCCGCGGTACTCCAATAGACAAAATGAGACGGGGGGGGAATTTGTGGCGGCTGCACTTAATGAAAAGAAAAACACCTCCGTCTCGCTCGCTCTCAGAGGGGAAAAGGAAAGCCAAAGTGGGTTCCAGGCTCCATTTTACCTGTCAGGACTGAACAAAAGGAAGGAGGGGAAGTCATTACCCAACCGATGACCCTCCCTCTGGAGAGATAATTGCGGGATAATTTTACAAAGTCGGGTCTGGCCCAGCTTTCCGGAGTCAAAAACGGGGAAAAAGTCTCAATAGACGTTTAACAGATTGGTTATACAGGGTCACCTGACCAGGCAAAGTTTTTAATCAGTCAAAGATGGCCTTCCTTATCGATTCGTCCGGCCAGGCACAAGCTATTTCTAATGCAGAGGGGACCTTTGCGGAGACAATGCGACGCGGAGGGGCAGTGTCTTTCATTATCGTCTCCTGTACGGCTTATTTAACAGAAATGCGGCCTTATGAAGATCAATACCGTCTGCAGACCCCCGCTGGGAAAGGCTCTGGCCTCTGAAAGCGGAAACAAAGGGCCAATTCCTGCTTTTCCGATGCTGCTTTTCGATGCTGCTCGTTAACCTGCCGGGGGGACAGACCGTCTGGTATCGTCTCAGCTCTGGCCCGTCTGGGGTTGTGGGACTTTGCTCGATTAATCTGACGGACAAAGACGAGGGGAACGGACACACCCAGAAGCTTAAACACGCCACCCGAGGCGATCTATAATGAAGTCGTCTCCTTCAACAAAGGTTAATCCAATATTGTGTGTCTTTGGTTAAAGACAAAGAAACCGGAATATTCCTCATACAATACTGCAAATCTTTGCAGCTGACTCTATCCTAGCCTGACAAAGAAGGTCATATAACTTCACATTACTTATCCCACATCCTACGATATGTGTCCCTAATGGGAACCTGAACTGCGATGCTGCCTAACATCACTTAAACAACACATCTGCATATGTGACCCCGAGGTGTAGGGCCTCCTGTAGACCGCAAATGGTAACTACAACAAATATTAAATAAACGGTAAATCGGATAAACACACTTCCGCCAATTATTGGCTTCTGAAGCCGCCACGACTGTTGGTAGCCTTTGGCCACACTGTCTGTGTTTGTGCTGATAATGATGCTTTTTAATGGGGCCCTTTTGTAGTTGGTTATAATACCAACTTGCAAATGCACAAAATTACAAACACCTCTTTAGAGCAAGTAAGAAAATATGAGCGACGGTTATACAGCCCTGATCCAGACGGCGTGGGGGCTCAATGGGTAACACTGTAGCCTCACAGCCCCAGGACTGAATCCATGCGTGGAGCTTGCATGTTCTCCCTGTGTCATTTGGGCTTCCTCCAGGTATTTTGGTTTCCAGTCCAAAGACATGCGGTTAGGCTAATTGGTGTCTTTAAATTGCCAATAATGAGTGCGAGTGCCCTGCGATGGACTGGCATCCCATCCAGGGCGTCCCCTCTGTTGGCTAGGATGTGGGGTTGGAAGAGAAAGGGAAGGATAGCTTTGTCCAAGCAGACCATAAGGTCAGTGTGACACTCCTCACGCCCAGTGAACTAAACCCAGTGAAAATCTAAAAATGATTATGTGATTGCCAAGGGAGGATGCGACGGGGGGGGGGGGGGGGCGGGCGGGGGGCGGGGGGTGGAGGGGGGATTCGAGGGGCAAAGATATATTTCCTGTTGAAATTTGGGCTGATGTATGGGAGGGGCAGATCAAACGCCTCCTTTCACGTCACTTGTCTTTCCGCCTTCTGATCTAAAGTTCATGTTACTGCCACTAAACTACAGCATTTGGTTTTATTTTCCAATAAAATCAGTTTAAATTTGTCTTGCACAGTAACACTTTTGAGTTTGGGTGTATTTGTTTTACTTTTATCATGCAAGTACCGAGGTCAGAACAGATGTAATCTATTCAGTATAGATCTCGCTGGAGAAAAATGTTACGATTTGTCTATAAATCACGTTGCGGGCTGTCAGAGAAGGAATCACTCCTGAGAGTGACACAGTTTCACTATTTGATTAATGAGCTTTATTTAACGTCTTATTTTTCAGGGTACGACGGAAGGCTGGTGTAGTTTTTCCATTTGTCCGCTCGCCAACATCCACCAACGTCCTCGAGCGTCTGTCGCCATTTTTCTGGGTCTTTATCCCTACCGATGCTGGAATGCGATAAGTCATCGCCTGTTTGGATGGCAGGTGCTCATGGGGGTGCAGGGAAATGCGGTGAAAAGGACAGTCTCCTCCACCGTGAGGTCAGGGTTAATCCCATAATTCTTGCTCCAGCAAGGCCCCCGTCTACCAAAACCTCTCCCAAGTGGAAGTATTGGAGAAGACTGAGGCTATTGCCAGTTTCAGTCACTGGTCCTTGCTCATTCAACACCACCACAAGAGGATTTACCTCCCCCGATCCCTACCCTCCTATGTCAGATAATGCCCTTTGACCCCCACTGCCCCGTACCCCCCCCCAGCTGTCAGTCAAGCCACAGGGATTTGAGCTCCCAGCAGCAAGATGCCCAAGCATAGTCCAGCTAAAGTCCACAGTCGGTTTCTTTGCAAATTGGTGAAGGGGCACGGAGCGGGATTCCAGGGACGATGCTTCTGCCTGCTGCCCCCCTCCCCCCCCGACCTTAGTTACCGTGGCAATATTGAACCATATCGCCGGCTTGATGTGCCTGAAATAGAGATGGCTTAAAGGTGAGCCGGAGAAATACAGCAGAGCGCGGGAGGCTCAGCAGAAATTCAATAGTCCTTTAATGACACTTATGTATGAAAGTGTTTTACTGCAGTGCCCGCCGCCACGCTGACCTGGAGAGTTACGGCGGGGGGGTGGGGTCGTGAGAGACCCCCGCTGCCATCGCCATGGAGAGGGCCGCGTGATTTGTTGGACAGTCGGAGCCTTTGAGAACCGGCCAGGGATACGGGGATCCTCAGTCACGTAAACATAAAACTTATTAACGATATTATACGGCTCTTAGAAGGCATCCGAGAGCCCTGCTGGGATGGCTGGAGATGCGGCTAACGGCAAAGGCCGCAGCGCGATTCCAGTTACAACACATTAGACACAACATAATAGGACCACTGGTGCGCACATTATACTAAAATGGCTGTAGAATTACGCCGGACACCAAATACACTCTGTCCTTTCCTGTACTTTGTCCGTTATTGATTACGGGAGCAGGACACTTCTTAGTGCATGTCCATGGATCAAAGGGACGAAATTCCTCCGTTTTCATATAGAATTATATAAAACCCCAAAGAATCATTCCAGTAAAAAATGAAGTGCACGGTTGTCAGCGTTATCAGATCTGCTAATTATTTTTTATAACCTCACGGCGGGATAAAACAGCTCCTGTTTGTCAGGTGTTTATTATATTACACCTGAACACCTAGCAAACATAATTTTACATACATATGGATCAGAAGCCTTAACATACTCATCAGCAAAGACGGTGTCTCCTCAGACCACCCCCCTCCCTGCAAACCCCGCTGAGGGTAAGTTTGGAGAAACAGAAATGGGGGGAGCGTGCCTGTTTCTATGGCACCTTGATGATCCAGAGCATTTAATGATAATCAGAGGTAGGCACTTGGTATTTCAGGTCATCAAATCAGACTCATTATTTTCTGTGAAACTCAAAAACAGCAACGGGGGAGGGGGGGGAGGGGGCTTCAGTTTGTGTTCAAGCATGATGAAAAAAAAAAGTACTTATACAGGTTATTGCCCTACCTGT